AAAAAAAAAAAATAATAATAATATAATAATAATAATAATAATATATATATATATAGCAACCCATCCAAGCCCTAAACCCTACATATAGGGCCCCTATAAAGGCGGTAAGCACGAACCTTGATTCAGGCCGAGGATCTGTCCGAGGACGATGACCGTACCACGGGTCATGTACCTAAGTCGCGCTTTGGGCTCTTGGGTTTAGGGCCTCCTCAACATTAGGGTATGTTTCTGAGCACGGAGGTATACTCAGGATCCTACTACTTGGGGGTTCGATTCCCGTTTTTGTCTGCAACCGGTTTCGGGCCGGGGGGTTGAGGGCTGAAGATGAAATCGAAGAGGAGCTTCGCGTTTCGCGGAGGGCTCCAAAGCAACAAGACAACACGAACACAGATCTTTGCGCAGATCACAAGAATGCCAACACTAACCATATTAGATAGTGTGATTCATTACTTATACTAACCACTTTCAAGACTCCTGCGACAACGACGACGCTTCTCATGTTCGCAGCCCCGGATCTTGCCTCTTTTGGGTTAAAGTCAAAACCACCGTCCGAACCTCCTGGGGCTCTATCGCGCTTCTGTGTCGCCGAATCCAGGGCTTCAGGGGGCGTTTGTGGCTCCTTGGCGTACTGTAGACCTTATCCTACACTCTAAACCCTAAACCCTAAACCGTAAGACCGGAATTCTGCACTGTGGACCTTAAAAAGGGGTTTGAGGGTTCTAGAGAGCTTTGGAACAAGCGCCAGGGCCACTAGGAACAAAGCCTTTGGGCCGCTAGGAGTTCAGGCAGGGTCGATTCTACTTCTGATGATATGAAAATCCTGCATGGGCATCTTCCTTATTATTATGAGTATTATACTGATAATTATAGTTATTATTGGTTATGCAGGATTTTATATCATCAACCGTAACTTTCTTGAATCCCAGTTGCTCGCAGCCGTGATCTCCCACGCCTGTTGCATAGCAGGATCCTAGCCCTAAGAGCCCTGCAGGGCTTTCAGGGGCTGCCGGAAGCCTTTCCAAAGCGGTTTTGGGGCGTAGGGGGTAGGGTTTGGGCTTTGAGGATTTCGTGGCTTTCAGGCCTTTTTTTGCTTTGAGGACGGGAGGGCTTAGCCCTAAAGGATCCTTCCAGTTGATTTAAATCTTGCAGGCGACATCTGTGCACCTTAACTGCTTTGGTCTTCGACCAGGGGTGTTTTGAGTGCAGGGTCTAGCGTCTAGGGCTTCATCACAGGTGATGAAACCTCTCGTGATTTGCTTCTTTTAAAAACCCGATGCCAACTTGCTTCGATCAGGACACTCGTCCGTGTCAGGCTCATGGCTCTGCAGCCCTAAAGCTCTGAAAGCCTAGACTCCTAGACCCGCCAAAATAGGAGTTCCAGAAGGCGAAGCTGGGCCCAAACGCTAACCGACGAGCCCCACACCAGAAAACTCATGGAAAGCCTTCAAACCTGAAGCCTAGCTCCTTGAAGCCCTCTGACCAGCGTCAAACCCCCCAACTCTCCCGTAGCTCCGATCTCTTCGCCTTCGCAGACTGCCGTTGCCCCGGAATTTCGCACGGCGAAGCGCTCGGCAGCGATACCGGCGAAGAAGGCCTTGCCGGCGGTGCCTGGCATCGGTCTTGTTTGATAAACCCTAAACTCCAAACCTCAAAACTTAGTTTTGGATGGCTCTTGGGCACCATAGGGTTGGGTTTTTGTTTGGACGGGGCCTTTATGATTACTGGCAAGGGACCTTGTAAGAAGGATCCTGTGATGTAGGACCGGCATTACAGGGTCTCTCATAATCTGAAGCTGCCGTCTGTAAATAGTCAAGCTGTCCAGTCTTCGCGTGGAACTGGGGAAGGGTGGTAGATTCTTAGATTTGAGGGGTTCAGACTTGGCGGTGCAGGGTGTCGTTTTCTTTCTTAGGGATCTGTCTGTCATCCCCCTGGCGAGGTTTTTGCAGACATTGCTTGCTGAACTGCTGTTCAAACTTTCTTCACATACACACTTTGTCACGTTTTCGGGTTTGGTTTTCAAACGATTGCTACAGCTTGCCAAATAATCTCGGAACGCAACGACTCGAAGGGAATGTAGCGATGACGGTACGTTCAGACCCGCATGCGAAGGAAGACTCATTGAATCCCCTTCTCATCCAAAGAGAGAGTGATCCCAAGCTGGAAAGCTGCGCGCCTCAACACGACTCTCAAGCTTGGCAGCCTTCACCAAGCCCGCTGGGAGCGATAAGGCCATACGAATCCATGAGACTTCCTCGAGATAATCCATCTCCAGCATATTAAACCCACCATTACCATCAGCAGCAGCCAGCAGCACACCTTCTACTTGCCTCATACGTTCTCATAGATAGGTGACCATATTTCAGAATCCCCACGAAGCTCACCGCGGAATCCCTCATGTCCCACCTCCGTAGAGCGCGGCGTTGCCCGCGATGATAGCGTCGTGAGACGCATAGGGAGCCTTCGCAGAAACTTCGGAATTCCCCTACTTAAACGGCCCCTCAAAAGGCTACCGAATCCACGCCCCCGAAATCTATAAGGAATTGTGTAGTCAATCATCTTCATGCGCACCTCTTCTTTTGCGAGTCCTATCACGATAAATCCAAACCCTACAACACAGTCAACCTCAAACCTTACCCCAAACCCGAAAACAACTGACGTAAGGAATCTGAATGCCTGGCTGAACCCCATCAAATCTCAACTGCTCTGTGGTCGCTGTCTTCGAATTGGGACTGAAGTCCCTCTCTCTCTCTCTCTCGAGGCGACTGCTCAAAGGATCAAGGATGATCAAGGGACTTAACCTTGCCAGAAATACGGTATGACAAGCCGAATGAAGATATTGAAAGTCCTGCTTATAACTGCCGAATGTGAGGACTTCTGCGGCCCGCGACATTGGTACAAATTAATTACATGATCAGCTTACCTTCCAAAAAAGCTTGGGTGAAATACCTTTGGCTGTGCCAACCACTCCAAACCAATAAGATCGAGGCAAATGCCTATGGCTGTGTTAACAAGCCCAAAACAATAGATTTCAAAGGGGATCGGTGTAAATGCCTTTGGTTGTGTTAACAGCCCCGAGACAATACCCTCCAAAAAAGATCGGGTAAATGCGTTCTTCTGTGTTAACAAGACCAAGACAACGCCTTCCAAAAAAGATCGAGGCAAATGACCATGGCTGTGTTAACAACCCCAAAACAACGCATTGCAACAAAGATCGGGGTAAATGCATTTGGCCTTTTTAACAAACGCAAAAAAATCCCTTGCAAAAAAGATCGGGGTAAATATGCTACAGACTCTCAGCGACCCCTGTTGCTTTCAACCCACAGTCAAAGGAACCTAACAGCGCCAAAGCTTAGGCTTAGACCCGACGATGAGCGTAAACCGAACCTGAACCCTGCCCTCCCACAGGTGCCCTAAAGTTTAACCGGCAGCCCATAAGACATTCTAAACCCGGATAGAGCGGAAGTTCCCAATTCGCAAGCCCCCAAAAAAGCCTGCCTGGTTGGGCTTGTACACGACGAGTGTGCCTCCACTCAGGCCCTTGCCGATGTAGTCGTTGGCGTCGCCTGCAGGTGTTGGGGCTTAAGGCCTTTACACTTTGAAGGTTCGGGTTTCGGGTTTGTTTAGGCCCTCGAAATTTATGGATTTAAGGGCTGTCTCTGACTGAACATGTGTAATGAGACTGTATGAAGCGGAAAGGCATGGGTGTTTAAGAGAGCTTTGCACGATGCATGTGTGTGTGTGTGTTTGTGTGTGTGTGTGTGTTTGTGTGTGGGTCTGTGGTTCGGAGTTCTAGGGGTCTCAGGTTTCGGGTCGTTATCTACTGTATTATACTGTAGAACTATACAATTTTAGTATAACCTTTGTATGACTAACCAATTATGTGTATGATTCGGGTTCCATCCGGTTTTGGAACTGTCAATGGCTTGCTTTGACTTCAGCGTTTCGGCCTGTGGCTTTGGCTGCTTCGCGTTTAGCTTTCGCTAAAGGTTTAGCCGCTTAGCCTTTCAGGTTCTTGAGTTTACGACTTTGGCTTCGACTGATTGTCTAAGTCACAACATGCTGCAAGGTGGCCACAGAGCCGGTGGTTCGCCCTCTCAGCACGATCTCCCGGCAAAGTACTGGCAAGCCAGCCTCCCAAAAGCAAACCCACTGGGCCTAAACCCTAAACCCTAAACCCTAAAACCCTAAACCTAATAACCCTAAACCCTAATAACCCGAAACCCCTAAAAGAAAATCCACTGGGCCCGGGGCCCTCGAGCTCGAAAGTGATACCAGGAGCCAGGAAGTTACCGAAGGACTGTCCTGCTCCGGTCTCGGGTTTCGGACTTAAGGCTGTTTTTGGGTTTGGGGCTTCGGGCTTGTCGGGCGTAAGGATTTGGAGCTTCGGATTTAGGGGGTTCGGGCATTTAGGACACAGGGATTTTAGACTTTTGGATGCCGTCCGTGTTGGTGATGACTTCATACGGCGCCATGTTTCGTCTGTCTGAAACGCAGATCACAAGGCTTCCGCCGGGCTTCTGATTCAGTGCGCCGCTGCATCGGGCAACGGGGTGGGCTTGGGCCCAAGTCAAACACTCAACAGACGGCCCGCGGCCCAAACCAGCAAGAGCTGGGATCTGCGGCCTAAACTCTTTTGGCCCCTAAAGCCTAGCTTTGGGCTACAGGATGTCTGTCGGCAGCAGGGATCTCGAGGGATCTTGACCTCGAAGCCACAAAACTTGAAGTGTCGCTGATCACGCAGCCACAAAACTTGAGGTGTCCCAATGGGGATCTTGCGGGACAAAACTTGAGATGTCCAAACCGGGGTCATGACCACGAAGCCACAAAACTTGAGGTGTCCCGACCGGGAGCTTGAGAGATCTGGACCACGAAACCATCAAGCTTGAGGTGTCCCAGCCGGAATCTCGAAGGATCTTAACCACTAAGCCAGTCCGAGCCGGGGATCTTGCGAGACCTTGGCCACGAAGCCACGAAACTTGAGGTGTTCCAACTGGCTTCGTCGACCGAAAGGCCGGGAATCTTGCAGATGTTGCGTCTTTTCCGCAAAGAATTGTGTGGAGCCAGAGCAGTGCGTCCAGAAAATTGCGGCATTCGCGTCTGAACTTTAGGGAATGCTATATTTCTGATATGCTCGCTTTGCGAGTGTTCAGAATCCAAAAGACATTTTTCTTCTACGGCGCAGTCTTTAGCTTCACGGATTTTTCGTTTTAACGCTGGAAGGCTCAGGCTCTCAACGGCAATAAACTCGAAAGCGGGAAGCCTAAACCCTAAACCCTAACCCCTAAACCTTAAACCCTAAACGCCCTAAACCTTAAACCCTAAACCCTGAACCCTAAACCCCCCCCCCCGCGGCAGAGAGCTCCTGAGCTGCCAATGAAGGACACGTGCAGGGTGCCCTCGGGGAGTCCGACTGCACCAAACTTCTTGCTGACCTGCGCCCGGGTTCAGTTGTTGTTGCTTTCTGTCTGTGTGTACGCCGTTCTTTTGGTGATTGGGTCGTACTAGGGATCTGAAGGGTTTTGTAAATGTGTCTGTGCAAAAGTTGTAGGCAGGTGGTATAAACCTCAAGGGGATAGGGCTCTTTGTGTTTTTGGGCTAGGGGTCAGGGGGTTGGTTTCGGGCTGTTGCTGTTGGTGCTGTTGTTGTTGTCGTTGTTGTTGCTGACCCACTTGAAGCTCCATGGGTGGTTGTATACTCTTGTAGTTACGCTGCTTCTGACCGTACTGACGAAGTCTCTTGGAGAGTTTTGAACACGCCACAGGCCGATGGACAAACCACATGCAGTATCCATCAAGCGTAATTGAATAGAACGTGATTCCCCCTAAACCCTAAACCCTAAACTCCACACATCCTGAACCCTAAACCCTAAACAGTAGTCAAGGCAGCGATTCGGTCACCAGGGCCTTTCAGATGTGATCTTGGGGATTCGTCCTAGAGGGTGTCTGGACTGCTTGCCGACCACGCACAGAGGCTTTGAAGTGGGGGCTTTGGAGTATGGGCTTTGGTTGGAAGGATCTTAGGGTTTAGCTGTTTGGGGTTTAGGGTTCAGGGGGAGGGTTGTCCTAAATCGAAAATACCAACATAACACCCCCAAAACAATCACGAAGAGCAGTCATGAAGATGAGCAGTCATCAAGAAGCGCGATGGTCCACTGCAGAAGTGCTTCCCCAAATTCCTGCAGCCCCCGCAATCAGACCCCGCCCTACACCCTAGACTCCCGAAACAGAAACTCAAAGCACCACAAAATCCCAAACCTGCCTCGAAGCTGAGGATGCCTCCCACTGAGCGGTCCACGTTGTTGATGTTGATGCCCTTCAGGTGGACCTCTTCATAGGGTTTAGGGTACTAGGGTAATCAGGGTCTACGGTTCAGGATTTGCGGGTAAGGGGTTATCTTTGTTGAGGGTTGGCTAGGAATGAGGCCTCAGGACACTGAGAGCCTTTCGAGTTAAGCGTTGCTTAGAGCTTAGGTCTGAGCGAAAAAGGCGCTGAGCAGCTGAACAAGCCTCTTGAAGTTATGACCTTCGTTTTGAACCAATCAGGTGCGCTGTCTCGGCGAATTCACTCATTACAGGAAAATCCTAAACCCTAAACCCCTAAACCCTAAACCCTCTGAGCGAATTCATGAGATCATACGGGCCTTCTCCTTGTCCTGCAGCGCCGGGGCGCAGCGGGAGATGAGGCTCTGGTCCAAGGCATGAGCCAGCTCCTGAGGTTTTTGGTTTGAGGCTGTGCTTGTTCTTCAACTAAGCACCAACCAAGAACTAAGAGCTGAAGTAATTCGCCGGGGGGCATGGTCTTGCGGCTCGCAGCAATACATCGGCAGCTCGGCGATGTTGCCTGTGGAGCAGGGCGTTTCTCTGATGTGTTTTGGTTGTATCGTTTTGGAATACTGGCTCACCCGCTCAGGGATCATTTGACTGGAAACCAATTCCCCAAACAAGGCAAGCAGCTTTCAGGCCTGCTCCGCACACTCCTACAAAGAAGCCCACCCCTAAGAGCGTCACAGCCTCGGGGCCTCTCCACCCCCACAACACAAGCCTTTCTTCTGGTCCCCCCTACTCAGGCCCTCGCGCTCCTCCCTCAAGCTCAGGGCCTCTAAAGGATTCGGCTACGGGAGCTCCACGAAGCTCTCCATGTAGAAAAACAGCGCGAAACGGCCACACTAGCGCGAAATACGAGACTCTCTCGCACAAAATCCTGTGTAAATCCCGGTAACCTAAACAAATCCCCAGAGGCTCTCAAGAGTCAGAGCCTCAAGGGTCATTCGTATTGCATTCGACCAAGCTCTGGAACCCTAAATTTCAACACCAAGCAGACCGCAAAGGCCAAAGCATTATAAAGCCTTCAATAAAAATTCAAACATCGCTCCCGTCGAGCACAGAAAGGTAGGTATTTACACAGTGCTTCGTTTTTCTGTACTGTCAATACGGAAAACTGCCCTAAGGCCTAAACCCTAAAAATCCTAGGATCCTAGAACCATAAACCGCTACAGTAAACCCTTTCACCCCCAAGCCCTAAAGTCCTAAACCGCTGAAGCCGTAAAACACCTTTAACTTTTAAAACCTAAACGCCCTGAAACCCTGAACCATTGAAGCCCTTTAACCCTTTTTCAACCCCAAATACCCTAAAACCCTGAAGCCCTAAAACTCCAAGCCTTCACCCTAAAACCCTTCAACACATTTTCCCGCTTAACCCCTTGCGGCCCCAAACGTCCTAAACCCCAAACAAATTGTAGCCCTTACAAAGCTTATGGGACCCTTTAAACCCTGCATTGCCTTGAAGCCTTTGAACCCCAAGCCCTAAAACCACTGAAAACCCTGAGCACAATAAATCTGAGCCGTGTAAACCCTGAAACTCAAAACCCGCAAAACCCTGAAACCCTAGTAAGCTGTAGAACCCCAAACCCTGAGAAGCCTGAACCCTAAAATCCTCTGTCAAACCCTTGAAAACCACGAAACCTTTAACCCTTGCACATATTTTGTGGCCGAATATAAACCCTAAACCCTGAAACCTAAAACCTAAAACCCTAAACCCCTAAACCCTACACTCTAAACCCTAAACCCTTAAGCCCTAAACCCTAAACCCTTAAGCCCTAAACCCTGAACCCTAAAACCCTAGACCGGCAACGAGGAAGTAGCCCTAAACCCCTAAAACCTAAAACCCTAAACCCTAAAATCCTAACCCCTAAACCCTAAAACCCAAAACCGTGTGTGGACCTCGCGGTCTTGGTAGTAGCAGAAGTAGTAGTAGTAGTAGTAGTAGTAGTAGCAGCAGCAGCAGGAGCAGCAGTAGCAGTAGCAGTAGCTGTTGTAAGAATAGGAGAAGCAGTTGCAGTAGCAGCAGCAGTAGCAGTGCAGTAGCAGCAGCAGTAGAAGTAGTAGCCTGCCCCAAAGAACTGGATACCGTTTTGGCCACAGGCCCCAAGACGCTCAAACCAGAAACTCGTGCTACATGGCTGCTGTTTAGGGTAGCTGGCCGATACCGTGGTTTTCCAAGCTGCCCTGAAGTGCAGATGGCAAACCACTGTACTGCAAATCACCGCAGAAACAGCCGGGGTGGAAGCCCTTTCATTACTGCTGCACCAGAATCCCTAAACCCCGAACCCCTAAGCCTAAATCTGAACCAAACATCGAAGAGAGAATTCCTCAAAATCTTGCGGCTGAGCAAGTACGGCTTCGGCTTTTCTCAACAGCATAAAAGCATTCGGAGAAATCGAATTCCTCCCATCATGCACCCTAATTCATGCCTAAAGCCTCAGGCCCTAAATCCCCTCAATTCCCCTAAACCCCTAAATCCCCGAACCCTAAAGCCTGAACCGTTAGCCTCCTACCTCTTCAATCGCTCGCGGCGCTCGGCCCCCGAAGTCCAAAATCCTCTAGAGTTTAGGGTTTAGGCAGTTTAG